CAGTCAACAGGGGGAAAAGAGGAGAAAGAAACATTGTTCCAAGAAGAAGGATAAAAGATATAGTCAATACACGTATTTGAAGTAGTAGTGACAGAAAAATGAACAAGAGAACACAGAAAAGAACTAGAGAGACTTTGAAACATTGTACATTTCGGAAGACACATGGAAGTTAAGATTAAGATCAGCACACAACAGAAGGTTAGAAGAGACAGACGAATAGTTAGAAACAAAAGTGTGAAGAACGTCGAGAAAGAAATCAACTGGAACAGATTGCGAACGGTAATAGCTGCATAAAAGAAAGTCAGCAGGAGACTGTACATGTAATATAAAAGCTTCAATAACATCAGAAGAAGCGAGTGTAGAAAATTGTAAAGTAGAGGAAATATACGTTGCGAGACCTCCTCTGTGTCGATTTCGATCTCGGCGAATGAGAGAATAACCAGAGAGGATCATCTCTCCATCAGTAATTGTCGCGTCGAGATTCGTTTCTTGAAATGATAGAATGTCAAAATCGCTAAAAGAAAAGAAAGTTTTGTCCCTAATGAGACCAAAGTTCTTAATAAGCCTTTGGATATTGTGAGAATAAACATTCAGTCTGTGGGCTAATGTATTGTCGTTTCGTTTGGCTTGAATCAGATTACATCAATAACGGTTAAGTTTAGGTTTTAAATCGCCACACCGAATCGATGGAAGACGGATCAATCTTGACACCAAGATGATTTTGAACGAAACGGAAGACAACATCTCTATCGTTTGTGCCCTCAACGGGACACAAAGTCTTGACGATGATGTTTTTTCCTCGCTTCTCACGTTCCAAGTTTTCGTTCAATTCATCAAGGCGGTCAACAAGTTGATCATGTTTGTTGTTAAGAGTTGTTAAATGATGTTCAATCTTGTCAATTCGATCGGATAACGTTTGAAGGCAACGAGATGGAACACGATCGACGTTTTTATCGTTCAAACACTTTGGACAAAACCAGTTAGAGAACTGTTGTTGTTCAGCTAGAGTTTGATACGCCGTATATACTATTGGTGAAACGTTAACACATCCGATGTGGAACCAAGTGTCGCATGCATCACATTGTAGAGCGTTATCATTATCGGTGACGATAACCTGGCAAGAACAGAGAGTCTGTGGTCGTGATTCGCCCGATTTGGGAGAGTCTTGTGTTTTGCGACGTTTATACATGATAACGAGATAAGAAGAATTGAAGAAGAATAATCGAGAAAAAATAAGTAAAATAAACAAATAAATAGACAAAGCCAACACTATCTGAAAATACAAGAGGTTTCGCAAATGCTCGAGCTCTCTTGAAATGTGTATATAATAATATAAGCGTTCATTATCCTATCATACATTCAGCTATAGCTTATATTCACTATGAAGTGTATCACGTGACAATTAATTAACTCGTTGACAAAACTGCAGAGTTCTCGAAAACGTTTGCTCATTTTGAGGCACTAATTATAGGATAACTAAAAGAGATATCCCAAAAGTAGCTTCAGATGTGTCATCCACGGCTCTTCTACTTTCAAATGATCTTTCCATCAAATCTGAACGATCAGAGATAACTGAGAACTAGTGGCTGACTTGAACGAAAAAAGAGTCTAGAAAGAAAGAAAAAATTAATAATTAGATGCCAACTACTCTTCGGGAAGACTGGAAAGCGGATCGAGTGAAACGTTTCTTAAAAATACTTTAGACACCGTTTGAAGCCGTTGGATATGGTTAGAATACTGCAGTGTTCTAGAAGTAAACATTTTGATGCATTCCATCGGTAGTAATGTTTCAGACTATAAATAAATACATCAAACTATACAGAAGTATACACTGATAAGTAACACATTATTACTTAATTCACTCTACACTGTTCATACTGAATGTATATGAAGTGTCACGTGACAATTAATTAACTCATAGAAAAGTTATTGAAAATATGCTCAACTTTTGGAGCCCATTACTTAATAATTAAAACATATATCGAAAAAATACCTTCAGATGTGTCATCTACAACTCTTGCACTCGCGAATGATGTTTTTCCTAAATCTGTACGATTGGAGATAGCTGAGAACGAGTGGGTGACTCGAAGTAGAAAGTAAGGTCAAGAAGAAAGAAAGAAGAATTTTTTGTAGTGGAACAGAATAAGCCTCTCCGAGTTTCACTCGGTCGGCTTAACTAGAGAGCCATCTACCCTTCGGGATTGGAAGGGTCGACTGAGTGGAACCGTAAACGGACGAAATTAAAAGATCAAGAAAGTCATAACAGTTTGACGTGTTTTCAAGAAAGAATGTATATTGTTATATCAGCTGATTCATTATCGTGTCACATATTCTCCTATAGCTTTCATCATATCAAGCACTGCAGCATATATTGACTATGAAGTGAATCACGTGGCGATTAATTATCTCACAGGAAAAACGATAGGTTTGTCTAAAAAATATACTCATTTTGTGGCATTAATTATATGATAACTAAAGTGTACATAGAAAAATTAACTTCAGATGTGTCATCTACAAGTGTTGTACATTCGACTGATCGTTTCCCCGAATCTCTACAATCCGCTATAACCTAGAACGAGTAGCTAACTCGAACGAGAAAAACGGTATGAAAAGAAGAATTTTGCTAGGTAACGCTCGAAGTGGATACAGCGACATTACCGCGAACACAAAAAGCGACATTACTGCGAATACAGAGAACGACATTACCGCGAAGACTTTTTGTATTCGCGGTAATGTCGTTCGCGGTATTGTCTCGCGGTAATGTCGTGTCACGCTCGAAGTGAAAAGCACTAAGTCTCCTTTCGTTTCACTCAGTCAACTTAATAAGCCGCGTCGAGTTCCACCCAGTCGGCTTAAAGAATTTTTTGTAGTGAAACAGAATAAGCCAAGTACATTTATTTCATACTATGTAATTCACATTGTCATATCAACTGATTCATTGTGGCATCAAGCATTTTGCTATCGCTTTCATCGTATCAAACAGTATAGTGTATATTCGAGTAAATCACGTGACTTGAATTATTTTCTAACTTTATTAAAAACAATTCACAATATATCTCAAACCCTACACATAATGAATTTAAACCTAAACCAGCTCAAACTCAAGCATGCAATTAAAACTGGTTACTCTATTAATTTTGGCAAAGTCAAAACATTAACTAGGGATCGCTGACCCTATCGATTGCTTATAAGAGAATCTTTAGCTATTCGTAGGAACACACCGCAATTTAATAGAACGGACAGATCAGTGCCTCTATATGTATTTCCAGAGGATTCCTCATCTACTAGTTCTCGCTTTTTTGTGAAAAAGAGAAAGTAAACGTGGTCCAGTTTATTGTAATTAGAAATTTAGTGCAAATGTTTATGTTAATATAATATTTTCTAGTTCATCTTTTTACTCTTTTTATCGCCATTTTATTTTTTACTTACTTAAGTCTGAAGATGAATCATCAGAGTCGAAAGCTTAGTTTTATACAGGAATTATAATAATAAAATAAAAATAAGTTTCGCTGCAATTACTACAAGTCAAACATCTATCTGATGGTTTCGTTTGATCTATGCGTAGAATATAGAGAGTCTTCAGTTTTTGAATTGTTTATTGTTTTAGCAAACTTGTGAACTGTTAGTCAAGATTATTGCCTCAAGTTTGCTTTTTGTACTTGAGGTTCACTGATAGCAAGCAAATAGGGTAACTAGAAAAGGTCTAAGTTTTATCTTCTAAGACTAAATGAAGAAAGAAGATAATCGGTTTTCAATAGTACTTTTTCAGTGTACCATTTGAAGAGTAAGTGATATTGTTTCAATTTTTATCTGCATTTTACGACAACATTGTTGATAGTATGCGTTTTCTTTTGTGTTTCTTGTTTATTGAATCTTTCAATTGTACAAGAGAACTTTAGTAGTTTATTGTAAATCTGTAGAATTATTACTATAAAAATATGTATTTGATATGTAGTGTCTTGATGCTTGAACGAACTGTAATAATCTCTTAATTTTATGTCTCCAAATATCATACAAAGAAATGCATAGTTTTTAAGCGTTTTAGACTTTTTTTCTAGGCTTCCACAGTTCTAAAGCGACATTATTTTTAGTAATTTAATTACTATACTTTTTAATTAATTTTACAAATCTCTACTGTACACAGTCAAATACTTTTAGAAAAATGAATTCTTTTCCATAAAACAACTCTTTCAATTGGGTCGTCAGCCTGATTGATTATACTGATTTAATTCTGCTTCTTTTTGCTTTTCTTTGTTTAAGAGGATGTTGTCAAAACGTGCAATTATGCTTTTGCAATTAAAATTTAACTTTTTCTATCGTCGGCCATCGATCATTGCTCGGAATGCAAATCATTATTCGGCCGAACCGTTTCTAAAAGATCATATGATAACACATTTAATATCCTCCGAAAAAGACCAATGGACAGTAAAAATGTTTCGGGATATGTACGAACGTTTATTGCTGGAAAAACAAACCGTTATCGAAAAGCAAATAAAATTATCGGAGATTTTCGAACAACAATCCTTATCTGCTAATACCGAAAAAATGTTTTATCAGGGTATACTTCACAGCCGGGCAGCTTTCGAAAGCTTCGAAAGATATCTTCGAGGTATGATTGACAGATCGGGCTCACTTGGGCGAATGGCCCGAGAAAAACTGATTATTCAAGCGCTTCAACGAATGAAGAAAGGCAAAACATTATCGCCACAAACGGAGAAAACGTTAACAGAAATCGTTTGCTGTCATTTTAAAACAGAAGTTGAACATTTAACAACAGAAGATTTACAAATATTAGGTAACGAATTTGAACAGTTATATAAGGAACTTAGTCACAACATTCATTCACAAACAGCAGAAAATAAGACTACCATTTCGCTCGTACGAACACATCTAAATAATACCCAGCTATGTACTTTAATAGCAATTTCTAAACATTATTTATTGATTGATGAAACAAATATATTCATAAACGATAAACCCACCGATGAAAAACAGTAACAAATACAGAAGATATGTGTTCATTTTTTAGATTCATGAATTTATTCCTGTTCGTAAGAAAATAACAGTACTTTTCTTCGCTAAGTTAAACTCTCGACGTCCAAAATGGACTCATTATATACCAAGCTATCTTTTGTTTTTTTTAAAGTACATGTTTTAGATAACTACACAAAAACGTTGTTGTTGTTTTTTTATTCAATGACCAATTGTACGAGTGGTTCTGTGTGTTGTGTTATCTTGCATAAAGTTATTTGATGACTTCTTTTTTTTTGACATATACATACCTAAGCACAGGCCATATTTTTTATTTGCTCTTTCATCTTGTTTCCAGAGTACTAAGAAACAAAAAGCTCTTTTTACTTCGTGTTTATCGCTGTTAAGATACGGATTAGATTCTTTGGTTCTAATTCTCATAATCTACAGCCATCCACAAACGTTGCGGCATTAAGATGATTTCTTTAGTCAGAAAAAATGAATGTATTTATCTCTAATTCTGTTTCGTAAATGGTGATATATTTATTTTTTTCTTCATCTTGTTAGTACTGTTGTATAATTTTTTTGTCCCTCTATCTCTATCTAGTATACGAACAGAAAACAATAATACTTTTCTCGCTAAGTCAAACTCTCGACGGCCAAAATGGACTCAAGATTTGTATTGAGTTAGATAAACTCGAATGATATTCGGGGTTAGCGATAATATACCGTTCCTTTAAGAAATACATACTTCAGATATCAATGATTACGGAGATTTATTCTGATTTGTTTTTGCTTTTATTTTAGATCGTTTTTCGGGTTCGGTCGACTTTTGTTAATTACTAAGGGGAAAAAACAGGGATTTTGTTACTGTCCTGTTGTGTTTTTCATGATTTTTTCTTATAATTATGTTTGTTTTGAGTGGTATGACAAAAGAGTCAACAAATAAAAACGATAGTTAAACAAAGATCACCGACCTGGGATGGATTTTTTAGAAAGGCACATTTTGTATCACTAATCATACGTGTGGAGAAAAGGTAGTTCCTTATTGATTGTTCTTCAATCTCCTCTGTTTGATGGTATCGTGTAGATATGTTGATAATATTGTTGAAGACGTGATCATGATTCGAGTGGAAGTGATGATGATGGAGCATTTCAGAAATGTAAGTCTTCCATACTGAAGCTACAAGAAGCTAATAGCTTTCTTCTCTTTCTAGTTTTGGAAGAACAGCGTACCGCAAGTCAATTAGCTAAGAAGAAGTAACCTGAACCGTTATCACCACCAACTACCCATGACTTTTATGATTTGCAATTATCATTTTCTAATTTAAATTCCTATTTGGATATTATAATCAATGATAAACGTCTTCACATTGCCATTGATCTCGCTTCATATGAATCACAAGCAAAATTGCAATATCATTCCACTCATCTTTCGTCAAATATTTTCGAACAACGTCTAGCATCTGTGATATTATTATCAAATAATACAATTTTATATATAGTGAATACATACCATCGTCAGTTATTCAAATCGATTCAGTTTTTAAAATTAACCGATCTAGATTTTGATCGTTTAAAATCTATCTTATATAAATTACGATTAACACTCAACAATCAATTAAAATCTCTGTAAATCGACACATCGAAAATTGATGATAAACAAGAATCGGCTGCTATTTAGAACAAGTATTTCATTTATCAATAGAGACATTATCAATGAATTTTCATAATTATGTTTATCTGATAAGTAAGCACATTTGCAAACTTTTACCTCCTTTTCGATTCTAATAGATTTATACTTATTGGCTGATTCAGTCCTTCAAAGATGATGTTGACTAATT